GCCTTACAGCTCAGCTCCTTCTTCACCACGACGGACCAGTACATCGACCGCATTACTGCAGAAGCTGCACCGATCCACCTGTCAATCTCCTGTTCCATCCTTCCCTCACTCCTGAACAAGACCCCAAGATACTTGAACTCCTCCACTTGAGGCAGGAACTCTCCACCAACCTGAAGGGAACAAGCCACCCTTTTCCGACTGAGAACCATGGCCTCAGACTTGGAGGTGCTGATTCATTTCCCAGCTGCTTCACACTCGGCTGCAAACCGCCCCAGTGCACGCTGGAGGTCCTGGTTTGATGGAGCCAACAGGTAAACGTCGTCTGCAAAAAGCATCGACGAGATCCTGTGGTCCCCAAACCGGGCTCCCTACGGCCCCTGGCTGCACCTAGAAATTCTGTCCATAAAAATAATGAACAGAACCGGTGCCAAAGGGCAGCCCTACCAGAGTCCAACATGCACTGGAAACAAGTCTGACTTACTGCCGGCAATGCGAACCAAGCTCCTGCTCCGGTCGTACAGGGACCGGACAGCCCTTAACAAAGGGCCCCGGACCCTGTACTCCTGGAGCACCCCCCACAGGGCACAGCGAGGGACACGGTTGAATGCCTTCTCCACATCTACGAAACACATGTGGACTGGTTGGGCAAACTCCTATGAACCCTCCGCCACCCTGAAGAGGGTATAGAGCTGGTCCAGTGTTCCGCGACCAGGACAAAAACCGCATTGTTCCTCCTGAATCCGAGCTTCGACTATCGGTCAAATTCTCCTCTCCAGTACCGTGGCATAGACTTTCCCGAGGAGGCTGAGGTGTGTGATCCCCCTATAGTTGGAACACACCCTCCGGTCCCCCTTCTTGAAAAGAGGGACCACCACCCCGGTCTGCCAGTCCAGAGGCTAATAGTTTATTTTGTGTGAAAATAAGATATAGTGTTTTCAAGTTGATTTCAAGTTGGCTTAAGCAAACAACTTAAGCCAATAATGCTCCTTCCTCCTCCCATCAACTTGCCAAATTTGTCCGATTATCAACTGTTTGTTCACTTGATTGTTACAGGTTGTCTTTGTATTTGTACTAAGTTCTCATTATTCTTATTTACAGTGGCATAAGAAGCGGAAGCGGCGGTCCTGTGGAGAATGTAAAGCCTGCCTCTGCAGGAAAGACTGTGGCACGTGTGACTTCTGTATAGACAAACCCAAGTTTGGAGGCAGCAACAAGAAGAGGCAGAAGTGTCGTCTACGGCAGTGTCAGAGACAGGCAATGGTGAGCCCAGCAATTTTGAGTTAATGTGTTGTTTCTTGCAGCAGTAGTGTTACAGTGTTGGTTTATTCCTGTGCTTTGCCAGAGACACTTGCTGCCGTTCCAGATGGGACAAGGTGAATACGGGCCCGATGGCCCGGTGCTGCCGGGTAGGCCTAGGCCTCACTACACATATAGTCGCAAGTCAAATTTAAAGAAAAACAAAGGACCACATATTAGCTTGGACTTCACTGACAATGAGGATGATGACTGTAACTTACAAGCAGTGAGTGCCTCATTATTTTAATGTGAACAGTATGTTAACATTCGTTCATTGTGTTGTCTTTGGCTGTAGTGGTTGCTTTTAAATGCCTTCCTTTGCTCATAAAACCACCTCTAATTTGATAAACACATTAGACAGCATATGTAGGCGTTTTCTTGCTTCAACTCTGTTTCGCTGTTTTTAGATGAATTGGAGCACTGAGCCAGCCAGTGGTAGTAAACACTCTTATGAAATGAACATGAGATTTCACCAGTTATCTATGCAGGTTGGAAAATAGATTCTTTGCTACACATTTTTGACGCATAACTCTCTAAACCAAACAGAACTTGAACTTTATTTTTATCTTTCGGCAGCTGAATCATCCAGAATTTGCACAGCAGAATGGACTGCCTGACGGACTGCCTCACATCAGCAACCATAACAACTCTCAGCTAGTAAGTTGATGTTGTTCCTTCTCTTTTGCTTTTGTAATATTGCTCTTTTTTTCCCTCCATTAGTCAAATGTTACATTCACAAACACGTCTGGCACCATACCTGTTTCCTTATACATTGATCAGCCATAACATTATGACCACTGACAGGTGAAGTGAATAACACTATCTGTTACAGTGGCACCTGTCAGTGTGTTGGGTACATTAGGCAGCAAGTGAACATTCAGTCCTCAAAGTTAATGTGTTGGAAGCAGCAAAAATGGGCAAGTGTAAGGATGTGAGTGACTCTGACAAGGGCCAGACTGTGATGTGAGATGACTGGGTCAGAGCATCTCCCACAGTGCAGGTCTTGGTGGATGTTCTTGGTCTGCAGTGGTTAGTACCTACCAACACTGTCTAAGGAAGGACAGATGGTGAACTGAAGGCAGGGTCACGGACGCCCACGGCTCAGTGATGATGAGGTTGATCTACTGTAGATTAAACTTTTAACTTCCATTTGTGCTTTTCAAAGGATTAAAATGGTTGACAATGACATACTGTACATTGGTCTCTATGAAGAGAAAGAGTCAGGGGCTGTAGTGGTGATATCACACCTAGAGTGGTGAGGTTGTTGAATGTTAACAGTCTGTAATATTTTTTTAGTATATCACTAGCATGGTGTAGAACAAAATTATCTATGTAGTAATACTGCTTGCAAACCAGTGATGGTAAGATGATGTTATGGGGTAGGACAAGATAAGTCTAACTTCTTCCTACTCTGTTCAAACATGTACTAGGTATAAGCAAATTGATAATGCATTTGTGGATATGTGTGAAATTATGTGTTGACATATTGACTGTCGTTACATGTTTGAAAGAATAAATCAAATCAAATTTGTCAAAAATTTTCTCTAACTCGTCCTCACGACCAGTTTTCACTCCTTTTACATAAGTTTTTCACTGAATTGTAGACACATCTGTGCTCTTCCTGACAGTAGAACTGTGGAAGCAAATGGATTCACAGAAGATGCACAGTAAGCTGCAGAGAGACACGAGTGCCGACCAACTGCCACATTGTCTCCTATGTAAACAGTATTAGACAGGTGGTCATAATGTTATGGCTAATCGGTGTATATACAGTATCTGTTGTCATGCTGTCCTTTAACCTGTGGCTGTGCCTCTGTTTAGTGAATGGGTCCAACCCTGTTTGTCCACTTTTCGTTTAGCTGTGTACAGTGGTTCTCAATGTATTTCCATAAGACAACAAGGAAAAGAATGTGCATTTAAATAGGAAAAAAGGAGACAAACACTATTGATAAATATGTGTTTACATATACACATTTGACATAAGATTTTTAGATAAATATTAGATATATTTACATCAAATTTCAGCTGATACTTTTAAGTCTGTCGTTTTATCACACTAAGAAATAAAATGTGAGAGAGCACTGCTGTGGTCTAATTGTGCACCTTGAAGAAGAGAAAGCAACTCAGTATCATCAGAAAATGTGACTACATACTGTAGCTGCCTCCTGAGTGCTCCTGCAGCTGTGTACATAAGAAAAAGTAAGAGTGAAAGTATGCACCCTTGTGGTGAACCTGTAGTCGTGACCATACTGTCAGAGAAACCACTATTAACAAAAATCCTCTGCTCTTGTCAGTTAAGAAGTCCAGAATCCATGATCCAAGCTGGTGAGGTAGAGTAAAATCACAGAGCAACCTTTCAGTTAAATGATGAGGCTGCATTGTATTGACAGCTGATGTGAACAATCAGCAAAGAAGAGCCTAGCATGGGCGGGCAGTTTTTCTAAGTGTTTATACAACTTATTAAGCAGAAAGAGCTTTGCATGCTCCTCTCCCCACCTGATTAGCAAATTGCAGTGGATCAAGTTTTTCATCCACAGTTGCCATAATGAGATTTAATAATTTCCATTATTAATGATCTAAGCACAGCAGGTTTCAAATCATTAAGTTGCGAAGGCTTGAGGACTGGTATCACCGTAGAACATTTTTAGGCAATAGGGGTTTGTTTACAGTGTAGTGACATCTGGACCAGTTGGATCTGGTCCTCCAAGCTGGTCAGCACAATATTGAAGAGTGCACCCACAAATATAGTCTGGACCAGGGGCCTGCCTAATGTTCACATGCTTTAAAACATCTGTAACACACCCCTGACCGAAAGAGACACTCTAAGGAGTGAGATCTTTTCCGAAAAACCAAATTTGTCAAACTAGGAATAAAGGTTATTAAAATATTAGGGAGATCAGCATCAGTTATTCTCTTTATTTTAAAATGTTTTCTCTCACTGTCACGATTTTGGTTTAATTCCCTTCCAGGCAGCTCGCAGATCACCACGACTGTACTGTGCTCAAACTTATCCTTGTACATTCTTTCAACTTTCCTTATCTCATTTCTCACTTTGTTAATAACGTCTTTCTTTTGCAGGCTGTTCCCTGTGTTTAAAAAGGGTTTTTTTGGTTTATGATGGTTTTCAGTTTTTCAGTAACCCATAGCTTGTTATTAGGGAAGACTGATGTTCTTACAAGGAATGTTGATGTCCACACAGAAGGAACAGAAACAATTTAGTTCATTCAGGTCAGAGCATGACTTATAAAAGACATCTCAGTCTGTACATTCAAAAACTAGCTTGCCAAGTTGCATAAGTTACGTATTGCTCATACAGTTGGGCAAATAAGTATTTGATACACCTCCGATTTTTCAAGTTTTCCCACTTACAAAGAATGGACAGATCTGTAATTTTCATCGTAGGTACACCTCAACTGTGAGAGACAGAATCTACAAAAAAAAATTCCAGAAAATCACATTGTTAGAATTTTATATAATTTATTTCCATTTTATTGCATGAAATAAGTGTTTGGTACAATAGAAAAATAGAACTTAATATTTGGTACAGAAACCTTTGTTTACAATTACAGAGGTCAGACGTTTCCTGTAGTTCTTGACCAGGTTTGCACACACTGCAACAAGGATTTTGGCCCACTCCTCCACTGTGTGTTTGGAGTCATTGTCATTCTAGAAGACCCAGCCACAACCCATCTTCAATGCTCTGACTGAGGGAAGGAGGTTGTTGCCCAAAATCTCACGATACATGGCCCCATCCATCCTCTCCTC